TCTCCCACGGAACAGCTGGTAGTTTCGAACTGCCGACCTTGAGGTTAGCAGCCTGATTCATAACCACTACACTACCAGAGCTCCTCCAAATGCTTTTAGTATATCCCAAATGTTCTATACTGAGTCAATATAAACTTTTTGCAGAAACTAAGACTGTATAAAAAAAGAGAACTCTTTAGCTATTTGTTAAGTGCTGTCGAGTTGGTTCTGACTCACAGCAACCCTGTATAAGGTTTCTGAGGAGTGAATGGCGTGCCTGAACTGCCGACCTTGCAGTTCAAAGCAAACCTACAGACTAGCGCAGTAATGTGCAGTGCCATACCTGGACTCTTAGTTATTAATTACTACCAATTACTTAAGGACACTATTAACTCAGAAAATTATTCATAAGATACACCAAAATGTTAACAGCAGATTTTTACGGGGGTCAGGGGTTGGGGAAACAGTTGTTGAATCACCTGTGATTATTTTCTTTTTATTTCTTAGTATTTCCCAAATGTTCAACATTGAACCAATATTAACTTTCTTGTTGTGTTGTTAAGTACCACAGAGTCAGTGCCAACTCATTTTCTGACGTTGCGGTTAGCAGTCCAGTGCTTATTCTACATGACTATTTTTGATTTTCAAAGCAAATAAAATACATACTACAAAATGGCAAAAGGACAGTAGCAAAATATTTTTCTTTTTGAAAGACCACAGTTCAGATTATAAGGGAACTATAAACATCAGCAACTCCTTTTTGAGAAACCAAGTAACATGCACATGATTTAAAGGGAAAATCCCTAAGAAAGAGCAGTACTTTTTTTTTCATTAGAGCCCTGGACTTGTGCAAATGGATTCCCAAAAACAATATAAGGGTTTTTCCCGTGACATAAAAAACAAGCAAAATCACTTATAACCCAGACATCTAAAATTAGTAGTTAAACATTCTAATCCTGGAATAAAAAAAAACAACACGGCAAAATCTATCATTGTACATTGTTGTTGTTGTTGTTGCTGTTAAGTACTGTGGAGTTGGTTCCGACTCATGGTGACCCTGCACAGGGTTCCTGAGGCTGTAAATCTTTACGGGAGCAGAACACCTCATTTTTCTCCCGTGGAACCGCTGGTAGTTTCGAACTGCCCACCTTGAGGTTAGCAGCCCGATTCATAGCCATTATGCTACCAAGGTGCTAGGAAAATATACCACGGGAGCAAGCATGTAAATTAGCCAACTCAACAATGCTGTAGTGCTACGTGCCTCCACACTAACATGTTAAGTTTTCTGGTTGAACTCTAATGCATGCTACAACTCCAAACCACACTCACTGCCATTGAGTTGATTTTGACTCATAGCAAACCTGTGTGGGGTTTCCCATAAGTCTGTATGGGAGCAGAATCCTCATCTTTCTTGCGTGGAGCAGCTGGTGGGTTTGAACTCCCGACCTCTTGGTTAGCAGCCCAATGCTTACCCTACAGACACACCAGGGATCATCAGCCACAGAGCGTGGGTGTTCACATAGCTGACCTCTTCTATTCAGTCCTTTGACTTCAATCTGTGTAGGACTCTAATCTCTCCAACACACTGCCAAACTATCCTGTCTACCCTACTGTGTGCTGTCGAATTGGTTTCCAGTCATAGCAACCTCTGTGATAGAGTAGAATGGTCTTGTAGGGGTTCCCAAGCTGTAATTTTTATGGGGGAGTCCTGGTATGGTGCTGAGGGTTAATGCACTAGACAGCAAGGTTGATGGTTCAAGCTCACCAGCCATTCCTCAGAAACCTTACACAGGGTCGCTATGAGTTGGAACTAAACTAGACGGCACTTAACAACAATAACAATCTTAAGGGAAGGAGCCCTGGTAGCACAATGGTTAAGTGCTTGGTTGCTAACCAAAAGGTCACTGGTGCAAACTCACCACTGCTCTTTGGGAGGAGAAAGATATGACAGCCTGCTTTTATAAAAATTGTGGCCTTTGAAACCCTAGGGGCAGTTCTGCACTACCCTACAGAGTTCTTAGGAACTGGAATCACCTTGATAGCAATGGGTTTGTCTGTAGGGTTTTTTGTTTTGTTTTGTTTTTTTCGGGTGGGTGAGGGATAATCTTTACCGGAGCATGACTGTTGGGGCTTTTCTCCACAGAGTGGTTGGTCTGAACTGCCCACTTTCTGGGGAGCAGTTTAACATTGTGCCATCAGGGACTCCTTCCACTCTATTAACAGTTGTATAATTGCGCTGTAAATTTTACCCCTTGAGGAATTCAGGATTATAAATACTGAAAGCAATGAGAAACTCCTTTTTGTGACACTCTCTCACCCTTGCCATAGGAAGCAAAAAGCCTTTTAGCATCTATGTGGCTATCGAAGATGCTTCCATCAAACATGCATGCTGTCTCTTCTGAGCAGGTTTCAGAATCACCTAACACCTTTCCTCTCTAGCCTTGGGGGCTGTATTAATTGGGGACCCTGGAACACTTTGTCTTGGTCCTCCTCATGACAATTGGCAATCGGCTGTAAAGAGCAAGGAGTCCAAGCTGCAGCATTCTCCAAGGCTGTGAGATCAGCCCTCTCCTTGGGAAGGCAGTGAGTGGATATGGTATTAGGGGTGGGGTGGGGTAATCACACAAGATGACTCCTGGGGCTGAGATTCACGGGGGTGGTGTGGTGGTGGGGAGCTGGAGGCTACAGGATTTATGAAAACAAGATGTCCAGATCCTAGGTGCAACTGCTTCCCATCACGGAGGATAAGCTCACTGTAGGTCCAGAGCCCCAGGCATCTTGGTGTGGCTTACACAAACACAACTTCCCACTGCCTGGACATCCTTTGGTCCCCTTCCTGGGGACCCTGACTCACCAGTCTCAAATTGCCCCACTGGGGCAGTCCTTGAATAATCCATGTTACTGGTAACACATGCACTCTTCAATGTGGCAGAGTTTATCTACTCAAGCAGGGGATACAAACCACCCTCCCGGCTACAGGAAAACCTGTCTTCCCACAAAAGAACTCCAACCTCTTGAAAAAGAGTGACTGATGCCACAGAAAGGTGCCTGGGTGGCACAACTGGTGCTCGACTACTAGCTGAAAGGTTAGCAGTTCGAACCCACCCGCAGGCATCTTGGAAGAGAAGGCTTGGCAATCTACTTCTGCCAAGAAAATCCTGAAAACATGGACTCACACTGAGTTAGAATCAAGTTGACAGGCACTAACAACCGCAGCAAAGTTACACAAGGTCACACAACGGAAGGAGTTCACCATAGCTTTCTTTTGATGGCACCACTGAGTGTATTCGAATCACCAACCTTTCAGTGAGTCACTGAAAGAACGTAAACTCTGTGTGCCACCCAGGGACCTTTTTCAAAGTCAGGCCAACAGGGGAAAAAAGAAATTGACATGTTTTTCTCCATGGTTTTATGAAAAATCTTGAGGAAGGATTTAAAAAAGGCTTAGCCACAGCCCTCCCCACCCTGCTCCATCAAAGCTTTTATCTCCACAATACAAATATGTCCTCCAGCGCTGTTTTGCAAGATGACCCAAGATTAAAATTTCTACAAAGCACTGAAGACAGACAAAAAAACCTCAATCAATGCTCCTCCAAAACCACAAGCCTCAGAATATAAACAACCAGAAGCCAAAACATGGTTGGAAAATAGAAATCAGCAGTGGTGATACCTACTAATTTGGACTGGAAACCTCTGAACAGCAGGAGTACTGAGCTGGCTGGAGGATGAGGCAGATAGTCAGTGAAATAGGTAAGGGTTCAGGGCTGCCGTATCCACATCCTTACCGCCACCTCTAGCTGCCCCTGGAGCCCTGGTCCGCCATCCTTAAGGGAAACAGGAGAGGTAAGAAGGCAGCGTGGAGCTGGGACATTCCTCGTCAGATGAGGTTTCCACCCAAAGAGCAAATGGCTCTTGTGGAACTCTTGTCTTCCCCTGATATTTTGGCTTAAAAAGGCCCTTGTCCCAGCAATCCTGATGAAAGAGGGCCATTCAGAGGGAGCAAAGCAGCTGAAGTTCCTCTAATCATTCCACTCCTACAGGCTTTCTTGTGGGCTTAAGAACAAGCCACAGGGTGTGGAGTAGGGACGGGGAGGGGAAACAGCTGGCCAACATGTAACAAACCCCAAGTGATGAGGACCCCATTCGTTAACATCCACATGTTGGAGGATTTCTATTCCTTTCATGATATCCTTCATTCACCCAACAGGGACACCCTGATGTGGGCAGCTGCCGCAATGCGTTATTCAACGTTTTCAAAGAACTTTTACATTCTGAAAATTCTTTGGGCATGTTAATGGCTACTGGAGGAGGCAAATCGGACATTCCTAGTAGAGGGGACCACACGTGCCAAACGTGGGACTTGGGGAGAGGCCTGTGTCAGGGCAGCCCAGGCCTGCAATGGTTAAGCAGACGCAGGTCCTGAACGGCTCAGGATGTGAACCCAGAAGTCACTCCACTGGAGCCAGCCGGGAGCCTTCTGTGTTTTTAATGCATCTTTCAGCCCAGTTGTGAAATAAATGAAGGAAATGAATCACCACAATGCAAGGCAGAATGGAATAAGAACCCTATGAAAGAAAACCTGCTAAAGTTCAGAAGAGGGAGAGGGCATCTGAGGATTCTGGAACATTCCGTGAGGAAAGCAATCCTGAGGAGGGACTTTCGGGAAGGCCTTCCCTGGAAGTTTCCCAAGCTCTCAACAATCAATTCATCCTTACCAAAAGATTAAATGAGACTGTATATATACTACTGGTGTGGCACTGTGGGCTATTGCATCAGACTGCAAAGTCGTTTGAACTATAAGGTCGGTGGTTCAAGCTCACCAACTGCTCCTTAGAAATCCTATACAGGGTCGCTAAAGGTCAGAATCAACTCGACAGTGCTTAACAACAACAACATATATACTACAACTTTCCTTATTTTGCAGTTGGGGAAATGACAGCTTGACATCTTTAAAAGGCCTCCCTGCCCTGTGTCTCGAATCCCTGGAACAGACATGTCTAGAGTGAAAATCAGACTCCTACTCTAGTCGTCCTGTCTGGGTGCCCCAAGCTGACTGCAGGGCAGCTGCTTGGGTTCCACTAAAGTGTGTATACCATATCCCATCCTCGGGCCTCCTGCCCAAATTTGAATGAACTGTGCATAGGAGAGAATGGGAAGGAGCAGTTCAGGGAAACAGAACTTGAAGAAGAAAAGTTATTTTTCTTACTAACCTCATCACCACCACATTCACAATGATGGGGCAAGGCACGTTTGATTCTTGGGGACTGAGTACGAATTGAAGGAGATCTGTGAGCAGCACAGCTACGCAGGCCAAGAAGCTGCTCTCAAGGCAGGTTTGTCATCATCAGTATTATTACTTACCAGGCACAACAGTGCAAACCCAACAGCCACTCAGAGAAAGATGTGGCAGTCTGCCTCTGCAAACATGACAGCCGTGGAAACTCTATATATAAGCAGTTCTGTTCTGTCCTCTAGGCTAACTATGACTCAACCTGAAGTAGGTGGGTTTGGGTTTGGATTTGGGTTTGGGTTGAGGATGTGACAGAGACTTACAAGGCTCTTAGTTGTGCCAGGCCATCTCATTTTAACAGCTCAGCAATTCGGTATTAGTTACTGTGTATCTCAAAATGAAGAATGCAGGTCAAATCTCGTGAAATAGAATCTCCAGGAAGAGCCTGGGTAATTGCGTTTTTACCAGACTCTGTAAACGATTCTAGTGCACATCAAAGTTTAAGAAGATAAACTTTGTGCTGCCTGGGAAGCCACAGTTCTGGGTTCTAACTACGCTCATTTATTTGAATATGCACACATTTGCAGAGGTGGGGTACAGTTCTAATCTGGTCTTGCCATCTCATTGATGAGGGCAAAGACAGTTATCTTCTTAATAAGGTGGCTGTTACGTTTGGATGTGTGCCATGCAATTTAGGAAAACCATTACTTGAAGAGCAGAAATAGTAGGTATAGGAATGTCATATTGTAGAGTATTATGTTAAAACCCTGGGTTTTCCACTCTGATTAAGTATCCAACTGGTCAATAAAACTCCTAAATATATGCACACCCAGGTCCAAACCAAAAATGCTCTAATTTGTAAAGTCTACACTCCTTTAAAAAGCTCCCGAGGTAGCTACTAGTACTGAATGTTTTCATCAGAGTTTATAGAAAAATGCTGATCAAAAGGAGGGAAATGTACAACAGAATTTCAAATTCTCATGAACCTATACTTTCTGGAACCACTAAGGCTGAAGGAACTCCCGAAACTATTGCCCTGTTGTTTAAACCTTAAAAATATCCTCTGAAGCCTTCTTTAAACCAAGTAATAGCTTAGCATAACTAGTAAAGATTGTCTGCTTTGAGCGCTGGTTTTTTTTTCAAGAACTATCTAGATGAGATCAAACTGACAACAGCCACTTGAAGGATTAGATGGGAACAATTTGTAATGTAGAAACTGTTGAACTGGTCCATATTTTCTGTGTATATTCTCAACAACAACAAAAAAATTTCCAAGAGTGCTTCTGACACACAGTTAAGATTAAGAATTCCTGAACTCAGTAGCAAAAGACATAGAGAAAGCTGGCTTTCCCCCAAGGGTTTCATAAAAACACCTGATAGAAAAACACATGATCCAGCAAGATGGCAGAGTGGGCAGACACGCTACACAGACCCTCTACTACAAAGATACAGGAGACCAAATAAAACAGACACAGAGGACAATCCCAGAAAGGTTAGAGAAGGGGATTGAATACCTACTGGGTGAGACATAAGCAGAGATGGTGAAAGGAGGAGACTGACTGGTGAACAGACTGCTGGCTACCTGCAGCATGGTCATCTTGAACTTTTGCAAACACCTTTGGAAAGACAGACAGATGGCAGCCGGAGGGTGCAGATTCACAAGGGTGATGGAAAAGGTGCAATTCTCTCTTGTCCCCCACATTCCCCTGAATAACAGAGGTGAGGCTGGCCCCTATGCTCATCTATCCCAAGTGCAGACCCTGCTCTCCAGGAGTTCTGAGCTACACAGTTTGAGCCAGTGTGAGGGGGGTGCCCGCTGCACTGCCTTGGAGAACCTGGATTAAGGTGGGCTTTGCTGCAGACAGAGCCTCTAGGCCAGATTAGACTAGTTGTTGTTAAATGCTACTGAGTTGGTTCTGACTCATAGCAACCCTGTATAGGGTTTCCTGAGGAGTGACTGGTGAGTCTGAACCACTGACCTTGCAGTTCAAATCGACCTCATGGTTCAGTACTTATCCTACAGTGCAATTACTAGCCACCTTGCCCCCAGCTGCCTTCGGGTTCTGACAGACACTGAAACCAGCAACCTGAAGGGCCTTGATAAACTACTTCTGGATTGGGAGCCCTGGACATAGACAACACCTAGGCCTATAGAAGCTCCATCTAACTCTGCCGTAACATCCCTCCTCTACCCACCTCCTGAGCTCCGTGGCCAGCAGCAGCACCCCAGAGTTTTCTCCTCTCAGGGTCCACTGTTTTTTTGTTTGTTTATTTTCCCTTTCATTATTTTTCTTTGTTTAGTGTTTCCTCTCCTTTTCTTTCCATTCTCTTGATTTTTATCCTCTCTGCTTTTGTTCTTTCTTCTTTTCTTGTTTCTCATTTCCACTTCTTTTTCTTTACTAGTTCTCTAATATCATTCCCTTTTCATCTTCCATGTTTTCTTAATTTTTCACTGTTCCTTTTACTTTCTCTTACTCTTCTCTTGTACAGCTCTACTTTCCTGTCCCTCTTTTATCTTTTCAGTTATTATATACTTTGTTTTCTTCTTGCTGCTACTTTTATTTTTTCTCCTGCATCATATTCTGTTTTCACTGTTGTCTGACTGTTCCATTTTGTTTTCTCCTCTTGCCCCACAGGATAGGCAACAGCAAAACTGCCCACACAGCTCATCCACAACTGGACCCCTCTTCAGTTCCACCCACTGGAAAAGAGCCAAACCTACCCTAAACTGAGATGCATGCACACCAAACAGAAAACAGTGCACACACTTCCATTCTCTAATCACGCCCACTAGGAGCCCGTTGGTGAAAGCCTAAGAATACACCACCACACAACCATCAATTCAATACAAATACAATGACACCACAGTGTTTTGCAGCAAACAGACTATTTTAGCTTACATGATGAAATGAGAGTGGCTTAAACAAATGACCAAGATGCAGATCCAGAAAACCTTTCTGAGGAAGAAAGAGTAATGGAGCTACCTGAGAAAGAATAGAAAAAAATGATATTTAGGTACCTTCAATGATTGACAGAAAGATCCAGGAAAGCAAGGAGAACACAGAAAAAACTTTAGAATAATTTAGGAAAAGACTACAAGAACAAAGGATCAGGATAAATGCAAATTTTGAAACAAAACAAATCTGCAAATAGAAATCCAGAGGATTAATACTAAGATTTCAAAAATGGGCAATGCATTGAAAAAGGAGAAGATTCGAAGCAATGGAAGCCTGAATTTGTGAGTCTGAAGATAAATCTCTCAATACTAGTATGCTAGATGAACAATCAGAAAAAAGAATGAGATTTATGTGGGACACCATGAAGAGGAATAACTTACAGGTGATTGGAATTCCAGAACAAGAAGAGACAATAAAAAGCATGGAGAAAATTGTCAAAGAGTTGTTGGAAGAAACTTCTCTAACATCATGAAAGATGAGAAGATAACCATTCAAGAAGCTGAACGAACTCCAAACAGGATAGACCCCCAAAAGAAAATCACCAACACATATTAATCAAACTTTCCAAAGCCCAAAACAAGTAAAGAATCCTGAGAGCAGCCCAGGAAAAATGAAAAGTTACCTACAAAAGAAAATC